AAGCTTTAGAAAATCTTCTCCCAGATTTTGGGGGGGGGGGGGGGGCTTTGCTGGATTTTAGCAAATTCCCCTAACAATTACACGGTGTAAATTGATGCAGTCAATATGACTAGATATCTAATGAGTGATGTATTACAAGCAGGATTCCAGAAATCTGAATGAATGTACAATATTTAGATGTGATACAGAATGCAGGTACAATGCAGAAAACGGGCCTTTTCCCTTTATAAAAGTGGCCTCCTGAACCATTCTGTCAAGTGCATCATTCAGATTTATTGTGAGTTTCAATCTATAAATAAAACTATGATGGGGGTTAGTTAATGGCTACTAGATGTAATGACTAAAAGGAACATCCACAACCAGGGGCATTAAATCTCAAGACTGGTGCTAGGAGGCAATATCAGGTAGAGACTGTGGCCTCCTCAGTGCCCTGTTTTTTGGTCCTGGTTGCTGTGTAAAACTGGATGCTGGATGAGGGGGACCACTGATTTAAATCCAGCACTAGAGTCAACATGCCAGCTGCCCAGGGATTCTTTATCTCCAGTGGCAGGCAGCACATTCTGTCAGCTTGGCAGGTCTTTCAGGCTTAAAATTACAGCACAGCTACTATATGAGCTATCCATATGAATCCAAGCTTTTGGCTCCAACATGAAAGTCAGTCATCTTGCCTCTGCACCGTTTGGCAACCCAGGATGTGTGGTTGTGTCGCTTCTGTGCCCAGAAGCTGGTATAAAATGGGTAGCCACACTTACTTGGTAAAATTTGTATTATCCCCCCCCCCCTTTCCAGTCTCACTCCTCTCTTGGTTTGGCTGTTTGGCAGTGCTTGGAGCCAGATAGTGGACTCCAAGATTATCCAATTAGGCTTCTCAGTCCCACATTTGTCTGAGCTAGGACCTGACAGTTTATAGCTTGGTTAGAAAATAACTTGAATTACTTGATTAGTAGCATCTCATATCAGATGCCAAAGAAATCTGCTCCCTGTTCTTCTGGGGTTTTATGCCCTTATCACCTTTTGTTGTGAATAAGTATTTATATTCCCTCATACACCCATGCATCTTTTTTCTTTTGGCCTTTTTCAGTGCACTACTGGCCACAGGTTTATATGTTAGATTTTCCAGTATTCCACACAGACAAATGTGGGTCAGGTACCTGAGCCCATGGCACAAGCTCTGTTTTCATGTAAACTCTATGTTAGTTGAAGAGCTGCTTTGATAATTCCTTTTCTTGCAACATTTCCCAACTGAATGATGACCGTATGCGTAATCATCTGTCTGGGAATGAAAACTACTATTCTCACTGTTGCTAAACATATCTCAGTGGTAAAAGTTTGGAACTTAATGCCATTTCCTGAGCCTCAGAATAGCCAAAAAGTAAACGTGATGACTAGCTTTGGAGTCTTTATGGATTTAATGTAATTTTAAAATATATGTATATTTCCTTTTATTTTAATGTAATCGCTCCTAAATTGGCTAAAAGCGAATGTGCCAGATGATGTTTTGAATGAATGAATGAGTGAATGGAATGGAATATACTGTACATAACACAGTATTCATTAGATTGAATAGCTGTCTCTTCTGTTATAATATGCTTTTGCAGCAGTTTATAGTTAATTAATTGCCTGTGTCAATACAACTATCAAATTTTTAAAGCTGCTGGGAATTAATGGAATAGCATTTGTGAAGTGTTAGCATTTGCACTGCCATCAGCCAGAGCCAGGTGACCCCTCTGGTAGTGGTGCTTGGGAGGCTTGTTCAGCTCCAGTGAGGGCACTGAGAGGGGTGCTAGACAGGTCCATCTGCAGTGCCACAGGCTGGGTTCAAGCGGTGAAAAAGTGCTGCCTCCCCACACTGCTGTCCTGTGGTGCCAGGTTCAGCTTGACTTGCTGGTGGCCTTTGCAACCCTCCGGCATAACAGAAGTGCCTGTGATCCTCTCAGAGAGCAGCCAACCAACCCCAATCTTCATCCCTATTAATGAGAAAATGTTGGTTTGGTCCATTCAGCCCTTGACCACAGTGATATTTCTTTTAGTATTCAAGGACATGTCAGAACTTTATTTGTTTTAAGCATTTGTACCGCACAAAGTAAAGAAGTTTGGGTCACAAGGTAACTTATATTAAAATAATTAGAGTAAAAACATGAATTATTTCCATACTGCAGATGGTAAGGCAAAGAGGCTTGCATAAGGCCAGTCAGTGTGTTTGTGGCAGAGGTGAAATTTGAATTTGATGATCTCGCAAATCCCATCTCATTCTCTTAGCCATGACAATAAGAAAATGATTATGACTTGAATCCTTTTCACGGACTATGAAACCATCTTTTTCTGATTGTTGATTGGTTTTGGCATTTCAAATTTAATACAAAACCATGGTTTTGTCTAGAATAACTGTGTGAATAGTTTACTTTAAACACTTTGCTAGAGATTCTAATTAGCGGGTCCTTTGTTGCTTTAGTAATTCCTGCAGTGCTGCTCTCTGTTTTGACCAAAGCAGCAAATGCGAGTTGGAACTAGTCAAACAATTAATTGCAGCATTCTCTTTTGTAGCTTTTATTTGACTAGCATCTACGATCATTCAATATTTGAAGCCTTCAGTAAAGTGGTGCAGAAGCTTATACCCCAGTTGCCAACTCTGGAAAACCTGCTAAATATCTTTATATCGGTAAGCAGCAGTTTATTAAATGATGCAGTAACATTGAAATAGTAATGCAAATAGGAGTACAATGAAGATGGCAAAAATTGCCATTGATGACGTACAATTAATTATTTGACATCTTGGTGATAAACACTAAATAGCTGATATGTTTTTTGTTAGAATCTCACACTTCTGCTTTGGAAGACTACATGATTATTTTTGACTAGCTACAAAGCCTGAAAAATATATAATTTCCAGATGCAGAGGAAATAATTCTCTTTATCTCCTCACTTCAGGACTCTTTAAAAATAGAGTGGCAAGTGACAGCTACCATTTCCTGAACTCTTAAGAAATTCCTTCTCACAAGAGGTCAGCCACCGTCTCTGGTATTTCAAGTGAAGAGTAGACAATTTTTGTCCCACCCTTCCTTTAGAATACTGTGTGTGAGACACTTTATGCCTTTCTTTTTAACCTCACAACAGCCCTGTACTGTACAGGTTCTTGCTCAGTGGTAGAGCACATGTTTTGGATAGAGAAGATCCCTGCTATCTGGTTGAAGGATCACAGGTAGCTTGAGTGAAGAGAGAACTTTCTCTGTCTGAGATGGTGGGATTGCTGCCAGTCAGAGTAATCCACATTGTATTAAGATGGGTGGAAGTTTTAGTTGGGTGTGGGGCAGTTTCATATGTTGATATGAGGTATTTCAGACCAAGTGTGTGTGTGACTGGACAAGTTTAAGCAGTGATCCATAAAAGCACTTGCCAGGAGAAAGGAAAACATGGGGGGGGGGACATGCTATCCCCTCTGGGAAAAATGGAAAATTTGGGGGAAAGTGAAATACATGTAATACTTACCAAGCCTAAACATCTGTAACAACACAAAATATATAATTTATAGTTAGCATATAAAATTGTACTATATGGTATGTTAATTAAATGTAAAAGTATAAATACCATTGTTTTCTACAAGCAAAAGTGCAAGAACGTCCAGTAATAAACAGAGAAAAGGAAAGAACTGTAAACTGCTATGCTTTGTGTTACTTCAGCATGTGCCTTAATTTTTGCCATTTGAGAGAGAAAAAAAACCCCATAAAGTTGAAAATAGAAAATACAAATTTAGTAGGGGAAAGAATGCATTATTCAGACATAACATGCATAAAAGGGATAGCGGCATGTTTGGATATCAGGTTAAACTTTATAACATTGAAAAACAGTGAATAGTATTGAAGCATATTAATTGTGGACAAAAATATTCACGTATGAACAATGGCTCGTATCCACTTGAATGTTCCCATGGCAGAAAGATTTCTGCCTTTAGAGAGATCGTATCCTCCCTGCTGCAGCTCAAAATGCTCTCTGAGAGCACATTATCTGGGGGCATCTTGGACTGCAGTGGGAGCAGGGAGGTGAAAGTCATACCTTTTGCAGGCAGAAATTCCTCTGTCCATGTAAATGCTCCTATGGATCTAAGCCTATAAATATATTCTTGAGGCCTTAAAAATATTCATTTCAGAAGAGACTATTTTAAAGGAATTTTCTGCATATTCTTTAAAATTGTCTAATTTTTCCTGGCCTTCACCGCTACATGCCCAGCACAAGGAGGATATGAACCTGCTCTCTTCAGGACAGTGGCAGAAAGACAGTCTCCCCACCCACCTTGTTTCTTTCACATAATGAAAACAGTCACCTCATTTCCACTTGCTTCTGTAAATTTTGTTACTGTCAAGCTGTTGCACATGTGAAATCTGACCATTCACAGTTCTAAATCTGGGTGTCGTTTCTTTGAAGAATTCAGGGATTGAGAAAGCTTTTCTCTTTGATGTCGTCAGCAAGATTTATATAGCAACTGACAGTTCCCCTGTTGACATGCAGTCATACGAGCTCTGCTGTGACATGATTGATGTAGTCATTGATGTTTCTTGTATATATGGGTAAGTGACAACACCACATTTCCAAAGCCACTTAAGAGTAGTTCAGAAATACTTTGAGAAGAGTCGTTGCTGTCCTGCAGTGTCAGAGACTGTAGCTCCTTCATCGTTGTACGGGTTGGGATGGTGATGTGAACTTTTTTTGTGGGGTTTATTGAATCCTGGGCCTCTGCTCCAGATGCTGACAAGTTGGGTTTCCTAGATGAGCTGTATTAATGCAAACACATCTTCTACTGTAGCAGAAGGAATTGGGTTCCAATTGAGTGAGAACCACAGAAAGCTTGTCTACAGCAAAGCCACAAAGGCTTCACCTGTGTGTTACTGACTGGTCTTAATGGTAGGAGAGGAACTTAATGCAAACTTCATCTTGCCAGTCCACATTGCTGTCTTTTTCAGAGCATCCTCAAGGTGGGCAATACATATTTCAGTAATAAAATACTGATGAAGGTGGGAAGGGGAAAATTGTCCATATTAATTTGGAAGATTAAGGTTGTATTACTTCAGTCGTGGATGTGACGGCCAGAATTTGTCATTCAGAGGTTTTAGTCTGTGTTGTACATCTGTCAAGAATTGTTCTTCTTCCAGTAAGATTCCAGTAACACCTTAAAGACCAACAAGTTTTTCATGGTATAGTCTTTTGGGAGTCACAGTTCCCTTCGTCAGATACTCGTCAGGAGCTTTGATACTCAAACACTTATATTCCTGGAAGTCTTGCAAGCCTTTAAGGTTCCTCTTTAAGGTTCCTCTGGACTCAGATGTTGATCTTCTGCTTCAGACCATCACTGCTACCCATTTGAAATGATCTTTTGAGTGGTGTATTGCAGTTGAAGGGGAAAATAGATTCATTTTAAAGATGCTGGTAATTTCATGTCATGTGGGTGTGTGTTTCTGGTGTAACAATTTGCAGTCAGGAAAAGTTTTTTCTGTTGAAGATATTCTATGGCTTGGGTTAGTGGTGGGGTTCTGTTCTGCAACATGGATAGCATGGCTTGTCTGGCCTTAATCTTTTGTTTATAGTCCTTTATGACCTTTATAGTCATGCTGCTTACAGCCATGTTGGTCCAAAAGCAGAGGCCGAAAACACCATCTGTGTAATACCTATATTGGGGCCAACCCAATGATGCACAAGAGTGTGCAAGCCATCGCATCCCTCAGAGATCTTCATTAGAGTTTATGGTAATAAAATTGCCTTTTCTATCCAAGTGGGACTCATAGGTTTCCTGTATAGTAATTTGAATTGAGTGGCTTCTTCAAGCTTTGCTCAGTTAACTGGCAATCCCTTGACACATGAAGTGACTTTCACTTGTTATTGTGATCAAACTGTTCACTCTACAAAAAAAAAAATGCTGCATTGAAATACCGGAATTGAACGTGTGTATTGAACAAGTTCCTTTTCTTCCCTCAAACCGCTATAGGCTAAAGGAGGATGGGAGCGGAAGTGCTTACGACAAGGAGTCTATGGCAATTATCAAACTAAATAACACAACTGTTCTGTATTTGAAAGAAGTGACAAAGTTTCTGGCCTTGGTGTGCATCCTCAGAGAAGAAAGCTTTGAGCGCAAAGGTGAGGAAAAGATCTGCATATTACTTGGTTCAATAGCATTAGCAGGTTGGGGTGTTCTCAAGTTACAGCTTCCTCCATCTCTTTATAAAGAATGAATCAAACTGTACTCTTCATCTTTTAACAAAGGGGGGGGGGACTTAAACTAAATTGAATTAAGCACCTGAAGGTTAAGAATATCTGAATGTATAGCCTCAATGATTCTGTCAGTCAAATTAAAATTAGTAAATATTGACAGATGTACAAAAATATGTATGTATTTATTAGAAAGCAGATTAAAAACAGATATTGGCCCTTGTGATAGCCTCAGTTAAGAATCAGTATGTACAATGGCAACCAAAAATGACCATAATTGACCCTGACCAAATGTGTTTTTGCCCATTGACCTTCCTCAGTGATCAAACAAATGATGTTACAGGATGGCTCCTGATATTGCAACAATCATTTCTTATAAATTGACCAAGATGAAGTCTGTGACCAAAGATAAAGGTTAATCAGAAGCCTCAGTCTGGATAGTTTGCGGCCATGGTCATGTACACTTTCCTGTGGCAATAATTCAGTTGTGTACCTTTCTTGCTTGGTCAGAAAAATTCAATGAACCCAGGAGCCAATAGTAATGTAACAAAAATGGCTGCTGCAGCTTACTTTCAGAAACTGAATAATTCGATTATAAATGCTATATTTTTTCAGATTTGAAGATTTATATAGAAATTATTTTTATTTTATTTATTTTCGCATTTATATCCCGCCCATCCCGTAAATGGGCTCAGGGCAGATCACAGCATTTCAATAAATATGATAACATTTAAAACACATTATAACACATAAAACAGTAGTCATGCTTGCCATAGGGAGAATCCGATCCATTCATGCAACTAAGTGTGGCTGGTTATCAGTGGATGGGAGACGACAACCTCGGGGGGGCCATATGTGGACCAGTGTTCCCTCTAAGCTGAGTCGGTGTGAGCTAGCTCACAGTTTTTTAGCCTCCGGCTCATGTATCTTTGTTTTAGCTCAGGAAGGATGGCTCCAGAGCAAACTGATTTATGCAGCAGCCCAGTCGCTTGCTCAGAACCTTAATGCCAGGAGCTCAGAAAGTAGAATATTTGCTCACAAGACTCCACAGCTTAGAGGGAACATTGATGTGGACACCCGCTGCCTCAGCCAAAGGCCTGGCGGAACAGCTCTGTCTTGCAGGCCCTGTGGAATTGAATAAGATCCCGCAGGGCCCTGATCTCAATAGGGAGCACGTTCTACCGGGTGGGGGCCAGGGTGGAAAAAGCCCTGGCCCTGGTCGAGGCTAGGCGGCTGTCCTTCAGGCCAGAGGATCACCAGGAGATGTTGACTCTTAGAGCGTAATACGCTCCGAGGCATATATGGGAAGAGGCGGTTCTAAAAATCCATACAGCCAATCCCAACAGTCAGTCAGAAGCCTTCCTAGGCAAAACCCTACCTGGCCGTGTCCACTTTCTAAAAACACTAGGCTGGTGCCAGTAAAAGTGTCAGTACCCATGGGGACCCCTGAGTTAGAGTAAGGCAGTTCTTATAATTATGGGGAAAAGTCCTCCCGATGCAACTACTGAAATATTTTTATCAATTGACAGTCCCAAAACTTAAGAAGAGCTTTTACCTTGGCAAGAATGAATGTTCTTCCCTTGGCAGTTTTGGAGGGCAGATATAATAGAGTATCATACTCTAATAGAACATGCAGATGCTCATATGATAAAATTGAAACCATCGAACATATGATTTTGGAGTGCCCTATATTCAATGACTTGAAGGCTAATTTAGTCACCCCTTTAGAAGAAGAAGAAGAGAAGAGATTGGATTTATACCCCGCCCTTCACTACCCAAAGGTGTCTAGATAGATAGATAATTATTTATGAAGGTGCCTCAGAAAATGTTATACCCAAAATGTTTCAGGTACCTTTTAATTCTTCATTGGGTTAGAACATGATTTCTCCTCAAGAAGGCTTGTGTGATGAGTGGTGGAGTTCTGCTCATGTAAACACAAAATGCCTTTTGGTTCATGCTTGACTTGGCGTTTTGGAAGCTTTTAAGGACTCTCGAAATCTAAATACGCACCAGAGAATTCACCGCATAGTCTGAACACTCCAACACCATTCTGGTTGGCTTGCCCACATATAAAACAGTCACTTGCTCTTTTATTGTTCCTGTCTGAGTTGATTTTATCAAAGGAGCATTATAAAAATAGTAGCACAGCCACAAACAGACTTATACACAAAGTACTGCATAGGTGGCTGTAGGGAACCAGTGCTTTATATATAACTTTATCAAAGCAGCCCCATTTCAGACATAAACCCAGTTGGATCTTGATAGCTTTGTGTGTTTGATCTTAATTCTGGAGCTGCAGGAGTGTTGGATTGCAGTTCGTGGCAGCATTTAACACTCTGTTCCTTTTCATCCTTCAGCTGTTATATTAAGGCTTGATGTTTGCTGCTGTAAACTATTTGTGGCTGACTTAGATCATCAGACTGAGCTGCAGGAAAAGGGTGGTTGCTTTGCAGTTGTTTGGTATTTCCAAGGCATCTCAGAGTCTGAGGATGTTAACTATGCATGTTACAAGAACTGTGGCTGTCTTCAAAATCTGTGATAAGTCATACAGTTCTGGGGCTCATAACGCTGTACAGAATAACTTTCTGTCCCTTTGATCAGCCAGATATAATGAATTACTTAATAAATCATGAGCTGAGTCAGGCTGTAAGAAATTGTGCACCATTTCTCTTCATTGAAATCTGTGGTTGTCCTTTCTTCCCCTCCCAGGTTTAATAGACTACAATTTCCACTGCTTCCGCAAGGCCATCCATGAGGTCTTCGAAGTGGGTGTTTCCTCCCATCGCTTCTGCAACCATCAAGCAAATATGCCCAGTCTAAAAGCAGTGACTCATAATGGCACCCCTAGAACCGCAGTCTAGGGGAGACCAAACCTTGGATGGCCAAGTGCTTGCCCACCCCTGTTGTGTGTGTGTATAAGGGGTGAGCGGCCAAAGAGGGACTGGCTGCATACATTTGTGTGCGCATTCTGAAAGAGAAGAGAAACCCTTGCCTTATGGAGCTGGGTGTGGCACAAGCAGAAGGCTGCTAAGCCTTTGGGACCGAGAGTGGCTGCTTCTGTATTCACGTGGTGGCTCTTGGGAGTTGAAAAGTCTCCTTCACCTGGACCTCTCCCTTGATAGAGCATGGATTATTCCAGAGCTGAGCTGAGCTGACACACGCTCAGTATTCTTATATGTTTAAGCCTAAGTAGTGTTAGATAATTTGCCTTTCCACAAGAAGTCTGGGACTCTATTACAGAAGTTCAGAAGCTGAAACCTTTACAGCTCGTGGCTTAGTTTTAACGCAGTCTGAAACATTCCATGTGGTTTTTTTTGTTTTAATCATATTTTGCTGTAAACATCTTAAAAAATAATTCCTTATTCTGTGAGCTTGAAATTGCCATGCCAAATTGTGCTAGCCCTCCTCGGTTTAAGTCCAGCAGGACCCCATACAGTGACGGTGCTGAGAAATCTGTGGTTCTCTTATAATTTGCTCTTTGTTTGAGAATATGATAAAGACAAGAATCAATCGTCTTAATTCTGTGGTTTCGAATGGGCTTAGAATACTTGTTTTGGATTCTCAAGCTTGTTGGTGAGCCAATGAATGCTGCTGGCAACAGTTCCTTTTCCTGTTCCTAAAGCAGCTTCTTTACTAAAACAACTTGCATTTCACTCAGTCATGGTTGACTTCTCTGGACTTTCAGTGCTTGTTCCTTTTTTCTTTTTCGACACCAAAAGTTGTATATGTTCAAGGGTTAAGTTCTGGCATGCGGCTTTGGCCAAGTATATACCAGCCTGGCTTTAAATTCTTTTGCTTGACTTTGCAGCGGTTGGTCACCAGACAAGAATGATTCTTCACCCCCATGGTTAGCAAGTTCCCAAAACTTTCCCTCAATTCCTTGGTGCCAGTTTTCCTGGGATGAAAGCTTTCATCTGAGTACATGAACTATCTTTGCGACCTTCATATATGAAAAGTTGTTGGTCTGCATTTCCTGTGGTGCATAACTCTTCTCTGTTCCAGTGTCTCAGGACAGACGTCTGTGTGAAAATGGCGAAGATGGTGCTGTCTTGGGGTTTGTGGATTCAATTCACAGGGGAAGGCTTTCATGTGATTTAACCCTCCCCGGAATGGATCAACAGAGTGCATTTCTTCCAGTGGTGTCTTCTGAATGTTCCCTAGTTTCTGTTCCCAAGTAGGGGGAAGAGGGTTCATTATTCCTGAGGGATGGTTTTAGTTGGAGAGGCTGCTAATTGTCTTGCAACAGCCACTCTTTCTGACTTCCAGATCTTCCGGCATTCAAGCATTCCACACCAAAACCTCATGACAGTTGGTCATGTGCAGTTTAACAGGACTGTGTGCCATTTTAATTTATTTTTAGGGCATGTTGAGCCTGCTTTTTTCTAAAACCAGACTCTTTGGCCCAACTACACATTTGAAAGACTGAGCTCTTTATTGGAAGTACAGTGTGTGGCTTTCTTTTGGACACTCTAATCCTCAGGTCTGCAGCATGGGACATATGTGGAGTTATTCAAGCAAATCTGCAAAAACAGATTAGTGTATGATCAACAGAAAGTGGGTTTGGAGGTATTTGGCTCCCTGAACACTGAAGCCCACTGAAGAATGCTTTGCTATGCTAGATCCCTGTCTGTCTAGTCCAGTCATCTTCAATCCATGGGTCTGCTGGGTCAAGAGCCTGTATACAGCTGCCTTCTTTTGTGTGTGCGCTGCTTTTGCGTGGTGTACTGCTCTAATGCTAGTGTAGAGAGTGAGGTCAATCATTGACGGAGAGGATTCTTTTCAGCACAGGCAAGTTCAGACATTCCAGACTGTCATGTGACTTTGATGTCACCTGACTAGCTGCTGCATGTTCAGTGGATCACACGTGGCTGCCTGAGGACTAAGGTTCCATGCCAGATCTGGAAAGGTGGAAGATCTGGTGGTGAGAACTATTCCCTGGTGTTTGTTCCCAGCCTCTGGTAGTTGAACGTGTATATGGCAGTTCCATTTAGTTAACAAGTTATATTTCCCAAATTTCTCTCTGCTTTCCTTTTTTCTTTCAGCCTTCTGATGCTTGTTTCTGGCATATCGGCTCTGTGTCTCTGAATATCACCTCCAGTTGTTGCTCCCCAATATGCTTTTCTTTGGGGCATTGTTCCTCCATTACCCTCCATGTTCTTTTCCTCTCAGTGCCTCTGGCTCCCTACCCTTACCAAAACCTGGCTGTTCTCCTCTGCAGTGGCCACTGTGGCTGCCCTCGCTTTTGGGATCCTCGTCTTCTCCAACCCACTTTGCCCTGAAGGCTGCAGAGGTGCTGTTTGTTGCCTTTTGCCAGTTCCTGTCCCTCCTTACTGTTTCTCAACCTTTCAAGATCATTCCATTGTGTATGGTTCTCCTCTACAACTCATTGCTGGAATCCTCTCTTCTCCCCACCCGACTTTGTCTTCATATTGATCCTTGGCGGTTGGCTCACATTCCTGCCTAAAAACATCACAGTTTTGATAATCCCTCTGGCCCCAGCTGTTTACCTCCTTCCTCAGTCCTTACCTCCTAGATCTCATATTCACTAAGAGCAGCTTATTTGTGTTCTCTATCTCTCTTGACTTCTCTGCAATGGAATATCTTCTGCCTGGCCACTGTTCTGTCTGCTTCTGCGCTGCACAATCTATCCATACTATCTCCTGGTTCTTCCGACGCCTGTGGTCCGTTGCCTCAGTGATCTTCTTGGAAGCCCAGTCACTTCTGCTCACTCTTCAGATTCTTTAGTTTGTGCCTGCAACTCATCCCTGCCCTCCGACTAACCGTTTGTCCCTCTGGCTCATTTACTATTTCTGTTCTTTCTACAGCTCTACTCCTGAGTTCTCTCCATTCCAATCTGCTTCTCTAGTTGTATGTTTAATATTTGATGTTTCATCTCAGTACGTACAAGACTCGGTTTCCTTTTATGCCTTCTGTATTGACAATGTGGTCATCCATCTTTAGAAATTCTGTCCTTTTCACACCAGTAGCAAAATGTGATTCGTGGTATGATCTACTCTCGTCTCAAATACTTTGCTCTCTGGGGGGGTTTCCATTGTCAGTCTGCTGCAGCAGAAAGTAGACAGGAGTTTTATGGCAGGTTAAAGACAAACTCATTTTTTCTTACAAGTTTTTGTTGACCATAACTGCCATACTTGCGTACATAAAACCTTGTGCGAGAATAAAAATTTGCTAGTCTTTAAGGTGCCACAAGAACACTTGTATATATTTTTTCTCTTTGGTGTAACATAAGAACATGAAAGTTAACCCTGCTTCATCACACCAACTTTGCATCTAGATCAACATCCTTTTTCAGACTGATTGCGATGGATACATGCTGAACCCATGTTCTTTGATAGATGGTGAGATAGGAGAGGAACCTTAGTGTCTAGGTGGTTCTCATGGTTTGCTGATTGTTTAGAATGCTAGTTTTTCTTTTGTGTCTAATGCAAGCCCAGTCTGCTGAGAATTAAGAACATGCTACTGTGGAATCTGGGATAAAGTGCTGTTGTGAACGTTGTATACAAAGCAAAGATAGGAACAGAGAAGCCTGAAGAAAGGTGTGTGTGCGTGGGGGGGGGGTTGCTAACAAAAATTGTATGTAAGTGCTCACATTTTTGTAAATAAACAATTTAAACATACCTATCTGGGCCCCAAAATTTATGATATTCAGAAAAACATCTTTAAAATGCAATAATTCTTCTATTTGTGATGTTTAAGCAAACCCAGCGGAGATAATTGGGCTTCTTTGGCATAAGGTCCTCGCTTCCATTGTTCTGCATTCCCTCAGAAGATATATATGCAGGGGCACAGAGAAGCCTATAAAAAGGGTTATAGGTAATAGCGACAGATAGGCCTGTCTTCCATAAATCTGTCCCAACCATCCCAACTTCCTCATAAGTTCCACAAGTCAGCTAACTGCTGTTAGAAGCAACATGTCCTTCTGTTTGTCTTGAATCTATTTTCAGGCAGTTTCATAGGACTACCCTGTGTTCCAATAGCATGGAAAAGGGAGAAATGTTCTGTCCACTTTCACTGCACTGGGCATAATTTTGTAGTCTGCTGTCAAGTCACCCCTCAATTGCTTCCCCCCCCAAAAAAAGTATTTTGCCTGTGCCAAGATCTGATGGCTGCTGTTTAAAGGTGCTTAAAAAAACGGACTACCTGTCATTGGCCATGAAAGTGAAATGGAATGTAGATTCCCAGAGGCATGCTCAGGGCAGGCAGGGAATGCTTATTCCCTTCTCTGGGAATCAGACTACCAGAGGATGGACCCTTGGTGCAATCAAGCCCTCTTTGCAGGTGGGGCCCCCACAGTATCTCCTGCTTGTTCTAAACTGAAGGAGAATAACTCAGTTTCTCCCCTTCTTGAACCTGCTGCCTTTAGCCCATTTGGGTTCTCTTCTGCTGCCTTGGGAGGAAGGGTACTACAATATGGAAGAGATAGCTAAGCACATTCAGGTACCAGTGGGGTGGAAAAAATTAGGTGATTGCAACCCCCCCCCCCCATTTGATTATTGTTGCACTCGTGAATCTCATGGGTCAGTTGGAAAGGAAGCAGGAGCTGTGGCCCACTTGGGTTGAGAAGAGGGGTTCTTAGGGTTGCCAAATTTAAGTTGGGAAATTCCTGGAGACATGGAGTGCAACAGCCCAGGGAAGGATCTCAGCAGGGATGAGATGTCTGATAGGGCTGCCAACTCTGGCTTGGGAAATTCCTGGAGGTTTAGGGGTGGAGCCTGGACTGAAGAAGGCAGGATTGGGGGAGGGACCCCAGCAGAGTATAATACCAGAGTCCACCCTCCAAAGCAGCCATTTTCTCCAGGGGAAGTGATCTGTATCATCTGGAGATCGTTTTTTAATTCCAAGAGTTCTCCAGGCCCCACCTGGAGGTTGCCAACCCTAGGGACTCCCATGGGAAAAGGGAGGAAGGGCTGTGGCTGATGTGTTCCCAAAATCTGGGCTTGACACTACTTTGCACCTGGTTTAAAGTGGGCAACAACAAACATATTGAGGAGTTAGTATATGGTAGTGCTAGCTTGGCCCCCCCTGACCGATCCTGATAATGGGCTCGCCACATACTATCCGGAAGTATGTCTCTGGGAGACACGGCCTTGTCTCTGCAGGCGGGCTCCTTTCCACCGGTCAATTTCCCTGCCTGGCTGGCCACTTGCCCTCTCCCTTAACCTCTGTACCCTGGCAAAGGGAAGAGGTTCAGCGCTCACACCGTCTGTCTCTCTCCCCTACCCCTGCTTGTTCTTCCGCTGCCTGCTGCAGATGGTCTTCATCGTCCTCCCGCTTCCCTCCAGGCTGTCGAAGGGCCAGGTCCACCCGCAGCTCCCTGGCTCTCCTGGGAGGGCAGGCCTTTTCCCCCAAGCATCAGAGGGCTGATTGGCTGATAAACCTGACTTCCTCCTTCCCGCTTTTAACCCTGTAACTGCTCT